CGACAGGCAGATTAAAAATAAAATGCATTAAAAACCCTTTGCACAATTTATAACGTTATGCAAAATATATTGCCTTTTTTATTTCACTATTATATGGATTCGGATGTTAATTTAATTATTTTGAGGCCTAATCAGCACAAGGTCACCTTAGCGATCCTGTGTTCTCTGTGTAATGGATGTGAAGAACTGTTCAATAACGTTTAAATAGTTTAATAACATAATTATTTCCTTGTGGTTTGCATAAAAGGATTTTGAAGATAATAGAGTCACATGTGACATAAACACAGTGATTCAGCTTCCTTCCAGCTGACCAAATCTGTTATAGTGAAGTTTAATTACCGTAAATTCCAGACTATATGCCGCTACTTTTTTCCCCTGTTTGAACACTGCGGCCTAGAATACAGTGCGGCTAATACATGTTTTTTTATATGGCGCCATGTGAAAACATCCAGCATCACCGGTGGGTTTCGGAAGGCTGGGCTGCTGCGGGATGAAGAGGAGCGCGAGTGCTCAGGTGAGAGCGACAGCATCCTGAAGCTGTTCCATTCAGACAGCGAGGAAGAGGACTTTGAGGGTTTTAGTGCGCAGGAGGAAGAAGAAAGTGATGGATGACTTTTCCTGGTCGGCTGCAATGTTCTGTGCATTGTTAAAAGTATCGGTATATGCAGCATTATTTGCGTGTTACTGACACATACGTATATTTAAATGTGTTACAGGTAGTAAAAAAAAAAAAGCATTCATAATACTTACAGTATTTGTTTGTTTCATCATACGGATTAAATCAAATGTTAAAAAAATGCTCACATGTAATATCTTCATTTTTAAATATCTCATACGACGTGGGAAACCTGCGGCTTAAAATCCGGTGCGGCTTATAAAAGTACAAAATAGATTTTCTCGTAATCAGGTGCGCTCTATAGTCTGGAATTTACGGTAATATTCACCTGAGAACTGATCTCTGTGTAACAGACCCTGGTTCCACTGAAGTGTATATGGCAATAAATTAGTGAATCTCAATCTATTTTTTAATTCTTATTTACTGTATCTTAAATAGGCCTTTAGGTTCATAGGTCTTTTTATCCAGAAAACTATATAGCAGGTCTGTGCATTTAGAGGCACAGATTCTTCTCATCGCTCACTATCCAGAGGCAGTTCTTTAAATGATTTTTAATGACCCACAGAAACCCTGCTTATGGACAGAGGACATCGAGGGCCAGAATGTTCACATTTTGGACAAAGAAGACAGGTGGTTTGAGAGGGGCGTGAAGGAAGCCATCTATGTTAAGAGAGAAAAACCAACCTTAAACAGAGGGGGTGGAGTCAGATTTCAGCTTCTAAACACCTAAAATGCAGCGATAGAGTTGATCCCTTCCCATTTTCCCCTTTACAGGGAAATAGAAGCTTATTCAGCCAGGCCAACTATTCCCTTTAACGACCCCCCTTTCAGAGACATAGACAGGTATGGGGCATTGCAGGCTAACAAAAGAAGCCAAACGACCACCATTCCAAAGGGGTGGACCCGTTCATCCGTTTCTATTTGCATGTTTTCTAAACTAAAACCAAGCTTTGTTGGGCTGCTGGATAAAACCTGGAACTCAACACTATTTCTGACATTTAAAATTAAAAAAACTTCTTTGATGGGAAGAGAAAAGTTTTCAAACTTATCCAGTGGATTGTTGTTTTTAACTTTTTTGGAATGCAGGTACCTGCTGCGCAGTGATGCCGTTAGCGATGGCCTGCTGAACGGACTCTCTGGTTAGCTGAGCGACCACCACATTGGGAAAGCGATAGAGCATCTCACTGAACAGAGCCACCAGGGCGATCTGAAGCTCAGAGTCTGAAAGCAAACAGACAGAATCCAGTCAGCAGGAGGGAAATATTTACATTCATGCAAACATTCCCAACAATCATCCACACAGATGGAGCAAAGTTTCCTATCTAAGGGAAACCAGCAGCTCTTTTTATTTTTCAACCATCGTTTTACTAAAAGCCACATCATTAACCCTCCATAACTCCATCATTTATGTTCTTATTAAATCAATTTTACTTATATGTCATTGTTTTATGTCTTAGTTCCTGTCACATCAGATTTCCTTCCCTTTCAGGTATTTCTTATCAAATTCTGATCAGCTATTTTTATCTAACCTTTGGAGCTTTTTTCCTTAAATTAGCTGGTTTCTGCTTTAAGTTTCTGGTTTAAGATCCAGTCACTATGATGGGTTTCAAACTTGTAAAATGGATCCAAATAAACCGATAATACTGGACTCCGCCCAGTATTGATCATCTTTTTCATTGATTCATATCTTAAATAAACACAGGCTGATTTTTTTATATTGAATGGAAAAAGTTTGTATTTTTGTAGAGTTTTCTTACCTACTGCTTTAAGTAGGTTTAATTTGTTCTATTTAACAGTTTGATCAGCATCACTTTAGGAAACAGATTCAGTTATTTCAAAATAAAGGATGATTAATTTGATAATTGATTAATCCCGATCAGCCCTACCGTTTGTCATGCAGACGACTTAAACAAACTTAATTTTCATTTTGTATAAATAGAGTGTTTACAAACTTAAATTAAATTTAAACTTACATTTCCTTGCATACAGCTTACAACAGTGTAATGATACTGCAGTTGGCATAAAATAACATAATATAAAGTACAGCCGTGATCAGAATGTAACAATATAGGAGAAAAAATAATGCTGCAAAAAGGCATTCATTTGAAAAAAGTTCAGCAAAATAATATGCTGCAAAATGCCGAAGAAAGTTGAGTTGTGTTCAATTTAAAAGGATTATAAAAGCTGGTGGTGCAAAATAATGATGCAAGTGAAATACAGAGTCCAGTTCAGTCTGTGGATCAGCCCTGAAGACATTCTGCTCATTTCTCAGTCTTAGACAGTTTAACCTGAACTAACTCTTCATCAGAATCTTTAAATGTAAACTAGGATTATTCTCAAGGCTCAGTTCCTAAACGTTTCACGGAGTCTATGATGCTTTAAGGCGCCGCCATTTAAAGATATCAGAACACTAATGATGATGTCTCCCTTTCTGACTCCAGGCCAATTTTTCTGATATTTAGTCATGGAAGGAACCAAACACTCTGCACCCATCCAGGACTAAATGGTCGTCTGGTTAATAACATAATTCAATTCTATTCAGTATATTTCTATAGAAGCAATTCACAACATGTCATCTCAAGGCACTTTCCAGATCACCAGA